AATTATCAGAACTTGCTCTTGGGGTTAATGTCATTACACAAATTCCTCAGTATGATCGTGCCCCAACTGATCCTCGAAAAGTTCGGTGTAATTATTGAATTTGGGTACCGCATTGGAACAGCTGTAGGAATTTTAACAGGATATTTGTCGAGAAATCAAATTGAAGCTGTTAGGGAACGACCATTTAACTTCCATGTTCCCTAAAATCGCCTCTGTTTCATGCATGGTCATGCATTCTGGGTAATATTATCAAAAGAGCTCACCAAAATTGTGTGATTGACAAGCAACGACAGGAAAAGTGAATTTTTTACCAATTACGTTATGTTATTTTTATTTTTTCAACGATTTATGAAATTATTCGCAATCTTTTTAGATTTTGAAACGTCAACATTACATGCACATGCGTAAACAAGAAACTATACTTCTTTAAAAGGGAAGTTATGAAATTCATAGCAAGGCATGCATACTCTGTCGACACGGTTGCTTTCTCTTTATTTAGGGTTTCATTACATCTATTTGTTTACATAGAAAACCCTCAGAAATATATATAAATAATTTAAATAAACATTGAAATGCTACAGAAACCTGTATGATCACAATGAACCAATCGACAAAATATAACATAATATTGCATTAAAGAAAGGCAGCCGATCTGGTTTGCATGTTCTGATTGGCGTAGACGTGATATACAAGGACACTGAGGTCAAGGAGGATAACATTCAATTTAATCATTTAGTTCAGTGAAATACCTTTTCTCTTTAAAGTTGATTTTACCAGCTTTTAAAACAATATGTTTACCAATTTCAACTGCACAACACTTGTTTATGAAATAACTGTAATCAGATATCACATGACCTGAACATGACCTAACGATTGAGAAATTAAAATCTTAAAAATTTATGTTCATAACAATCAAAAAGAACTTCAAAAGATTAACCTTGTGTGAGGGAGTCTTGATACGATACCATAGTTTATAAACTCATCGATTTCATTAATAATGTATTGTTTACATCATGCCAGTGCTGTAGCTATTATCATTGATAGAGCAGAATCCAATAACAACTTAAACACTTTAATAATTGCGTCAGAAGTCCCTAAATAAAATATTATAACATTAAGTCGAAACACAGTACATGGTATATAAGGCATGAAGATGGAATATTACAGATCAGCTGCATTATTTATCGTAGAGGATCTTACAGACTAATATAGGATGCAGTCACAGAAATAATTATATTATAAGTACGTCTGAACCAGTGACAACTCTTCGACAGATCAGTCGTAGATTTGTCACTGGTTCAGACGTACTTATATATATGTTGTGTACAAGTTATCATTTTTTACAAATTATAATTCGTATTTTGACTCTGTACAAATTGTAATTTGTACAAAAAGTGCTTGTACAAATTACAATTTGTACACAATTTGACTAAAATTCATTTATAACTTGTACAATAATTTATAGTATGGATTTTGTTATAAAAAAGCATTGATACACACTATAGAATTTTTATTCAATGACCACACAATAAACCTTATTTACAAAATACAAAAATACCTGGATGGAGACAGGAAATGTAATTGATACATGCATGTCAGTTAATTCTGATAGTACAATAAAAATTGGCCCTAGTGACAATTTTGACAGAATAATAAACATAAGCCCCAGTGACAATTCTGATAGTATAATAGAAATTGGCCCGAGTGAGAATTCTGATGGTATAATAGAAATTGGCCCGAGTGACAACCAGTATGATACTGACGTTGAAACACCAATCATACGTGCCAGGAAGCGTGTGATTTCTAGCCAACAGATCCAAGCCGAATATCTAACAATGAAAAACGAAACAGAAATTATCAGAACTTGCTCTGCGGATTAATATCATTACACAAATTCCTCAGTATGATCGTGCCCCAACTGATCCTCGAAAAATTAGGTGTAATTATTGAAGTTGGATACCGCATTGGAACAGCTGTAGGAATTTTAACAGGATATTTGTCGAGAAATCAAATTGAAGCTGCTAGGGAACGACCATTTGACCTCAAGGGAGGGGGGTATGGTTTTTTCCTAAAAAAATATTCTGATCCCAAATTTGATGGGAAATAGTGTGGTCAAGCAGATGACAAAAAAAAATATTCTTAATCCAGATTTTCCCCAATTCTTATTATAGACCAATGTGAAATTTCTTTCAAATTTAAAGTTTTTGACCGAAAACCCATTGATAAATGAATACATAATTAGTCAATAATCTAAATATTTGTGGTTTAGTTAATGCAATGCATTTTTATGCATGTTTGTTGAGACACTCGGCTGACATATTTGTTTATATCTTCTTCCTTAAACGTATAACTTTCAATCTTTATCTTTATGTTTTGAATTACAACATTGCTTTTATCATGATTTTGACTTCCATTACATACCCATAATCTGCATTATTTCATCGCGTTTCAAAGTTTGTTAATCTTAAATTCACGTGATTTTACAGTAATCCTTTACGCACGTGCCTAACATGATTTTATGAGGTAGACGAATCCGGCGTTAAAAAGATCAAATTGACTTTTTAAGTACAAGCATATGCAGATTGGTCATATTTTGACAACTGTTTTCATTTGGATTAAATTGGACTGACAACAGCTTAATGAGACTGAAAAATGCTATTTTCTGTTAAAAAACGCAAGCGTTTTACCTTGCGTAGTTGTGCGTAAAATGAATTTCAATGTTTTTCTTCAAAATAATATATTTTTCAAAGAATGCATGAAAACGCATGATCTGTAAAGTTTCTCAAATTTCTAAACAACGAGCTATTTCATTATTGTAAAAGTTCACATGTATTACGAAAATTTCGAAAAAAGTAAGAATGCAAAATCAAACCTGTCATACCTTTTGTTTCATTCATGAAAATATCATGAACTCGTCCAGTGTATGGCTTGGTGGTCAATTGAAGCAAACGTGTGTGTAAAAAAATTGCAAATTAACCTGTTTTCAGAATTACAGAATATAATTATACTTTAAATGCATTAAGTTTGGGAACGATTAGCAAAGTTAAATTGTGAATTATTAAGTATGAGGTCTGGATGGGGATCTATATTCTTTCATTTTTGAATAATTACATTACATCTATAATTCATTATAATACATTATTTTGATTGGCTAACAGCAATCTCGCGTCGTTCTGAAATTAACATTAATTTCAAAATTAAATGTAACATTCATGATGACACGATTGATTGATTGATTGATGGTTGCTTAACCTCCAGTGGCAAATATTTCATGCATATTCAGGACGAGTACAAATTAACAATAAATACAATAGGTAGGTTCTGTAATAGGGGCGTCCGGGATTAAGGTCGGAGAAATTTAGACTGCCACGGGAAATGAGGGTATATTGGATAGGGACAGAAATTTAGCCTTGCAACAGGTCACCTACGGACCTCTCGAAGAGTTGTTGCAAGGGTTCTTAACGTGCAAAGAGCATGGCACTCTCTTTACACGAGGCCATTCTGACCGGACGTGGCTCCAAATTTGTACATCCCGCACAGCCAAACGGACGCCCCACTTAAGCAAGGGTTTTACTGCCGGTCGGAGGAAGACCAAAGGTGACCATATTTCTATTCCCCAGTCACCCTTGGGGGTCTTGATGACACGAGCTTTCACAATAAAGTGCACAGGTAAATAAATTTTGAAAGAAAAACTTGATAGAAATCGTGTTTTCATGATCCTAGCAAAACATGTAATTATAAGTATCGAATGCTTCTTTAACATTTTTAAGTATAATTTTATAGGGTCGTAAAAGCGTTGACCGTGCGCACATTTTCAGAATGAAGCGCTTCATACAAAATGTACTTCGGTAAACGCTTTCACATCCCAATAAATTTACAAAAAGAAGCATCAATTCTTAAGTAATTTTTCTCTATTTTTCACTAATGTTGCCCATTATTCGCAAGACTGACTGTAACATGTCCAAACTCTCTAGTTAAAAAACGTTGGTTTAATCGTATTCATTAAAAAAATAATAATTAAAATTCGACTTGACCTTTTAGTATAATATAAGTACAGAAAACTGAAGACAAAGCATAACTATAATTGTTAATCCACAAACAAGAGTATTTTTATAATTTCTTAATTTTTTTTACTTCAGACCTTGCTATAATTGTTTTCATAAACAATAATTAATGTTACGTAATAAATTTTGCGTGCTTACAGAATACACACAGGACAAAGTATAATAATAATAATGATAATATAAATTCGAACAGGTAAACAGGTAATGGTGAAACAAGACTAACTTCATCCAATCGAACTGCGTAAGATTTAATACCAATGACCAGTCCATATCAAATTAAGTGTTAGAGGTAAGTAGGGTAGGGAGAAAATGAGAGCTTTTTAATATAATGCTCATTAGCTTATTTAAAGCAATAAAAAATTTGGGTTTCTAGTTCTGATTTATTCAGCGGTATTGTCATGAAGTGCGTTTAAGTGAACCATGGTATAGCAAATATCGAGTTCCCTCACAAAATCGTATCACACACTTAAGGAAAACTTTTGTTACTTCGTTACTTATTTAAGTTTGTTCAAGCCTTTAAACTCATTTACTGGTGACACTCTTTCCCTATATTCATCGAGGGTCTGGCATATCACGCTTAAACTTCTGTAGGATTTGTTTGAGCCGAATTCGTCAAAATTGTCTGTCTGACACGATCACTATTTGTATTGGTGAACACGTTTTGTTATTTTATAACACATTGTACGCCTTTGAATTCATTAGAACAATCCAGCGGTGATACACCAGTGATATAATGAAAAAAGAACGTAGTTTGTGTAATTCTGATTTCATATATATCTTTATATATAACTATTACAAGAACTTCATCAATTGCTTTTTATTCTGCATGTGTAAATATACAAGAGGTTCAGTTTCTATAGTGGTTTTGTTTTCACATGCTTATAATTGAATAATATATAATTATTGCTGATACATGTTTTACGTTATATTGATATTATGGGGAAGGGTCTTTGTAAGTTGTGACAACTTGTGTCCGATTCCTTTGTTATATTCTAGCAATGAAACATTTCTCTCTCTATCTCTCTCTCTCTCTCTCTCTCTCTCTCTCTGTATATATAGATACATAAACAGCCCACTAGTCTAGTCTATAGTTGAAACGAAATGAACAACAGATTAGTAGGTTACAAGAAAATATTATTATATTGCCACTTGTCAATTAATAGATGGTATAAACTTATTTCGGCTTGATAATATTTTAGGTTCTTCAAGCAGTAGCCGATGGGAATTTAAAGAGAATATTTGTCATTGGTGGATGTGACGGTTCGGAGCACAAACGTAACTACTTCAACATTGGCCCACTCATTACCCTCACAAACTCTTATACTTACAATAGGTTGTGCTAAATATAGAATCAACGATAAAGACTATGGAACTTTGGGAAGTACTGGAATACCACGACTTCTTGACCTTGGACAGTGTAATGACAGTTATGGTGCAATAGTGGTAGCAAAAGCACTAGCATCGGCACTCGATACTGACATTAACAGTTTGCCTTTGTCTCTGTCCTTGTCATGGTTTGAACAAACAGCAGTAGCAGTTTTTCTTAGTTTATTGAGTCTTGGCGTCAAGAATATTAGATTAGGCCCAGTAATGCCGGCTTTTCTGTACCCAACTGTACTACAAGCACTTCAGGATCAATATGGAATAGTGCCTGTCGATATTAGACATCCACTTGAAGACATGGAAGATATGATGTAACATTTAAACAAATCACAAAATAAAATCAAAAGACCAACACAGATAATCAAACATTACAGCTCTGTTTGCATGCGTAGGGCAGTATTATTGTATTAAACTTCACCTTGAATTAAATCAGGAACCATTTAGCCTAAAGTCTGTTCCCATACAATAGAAAAACTATTTTGATATAGATACAGATGAATTATATATATGTTTTGATAGCATAATGTTATTTTGCTATCAAAACATATATATAATTCATATTATGAAAGATTTTTACATGCCATGTCAGTAAAGAGTTTGTATTAAACTTGTTCAAGTCACTTTCAACTTATATCACGCCATAATTGTAAAACTTAGAAATGTTGCAATGCTCCCTAGAAATATTGAAATTAAAATTAGGAATTTAAATTTTGAGCATATTAATCAACATTCAATTTGTAACTTTCTAGAAGCTTAACTGACCAAAAATTGCATGGTCAAGACTTGGTCGAATAACTCAATTTGGTGTCTACTGATGACCAAAATGACTGTTTTAGTATAAGATAAGAACAAACGTTGCAAATTACAAATGACGAAACGTTTCCATTGGTTATTTCATTTTAACCAAAGTTAGCGAATAGATAATAATTCCAATTGACTTTTGCGTTTATTTCATAATGAATTATAGATTCGAATGGAGCTAAGCTTTTCTAATGTGCATAAGAAATCATAATCACATTCATAATCGATTTTACGCCAGTAAATGGTTTTACTAAAACATTTAAAAACCTATATCAGATGTCTTGGTACCTAAATTATTAACTCCTCCTTCTAAAATTGTCAAACAATTTATTGCTATTGTTAAGCACGTTAATAGTTATTGTTTTCCAAAATGTATAACAATAAATAAAAAGCTATACAGAGAGCTCTAGATAGCTTTATCATAAGTATGCAAACCGGCATGAGGATAAAACCTTATACTATTTGTGTTTCAAAATTTACCCGGTGTCAAAGGCTACAGGCATGTGAGAACATTTACGTACTATAACTAAACTGTAACGATGGAGTGATTTATTCAAATCCTGACGTACATAACTGTTTTAGTTAGAGATGATATTCAGTTTAGAACTAGGGATAAGATGTGTCAAGCTTAAATCGAATATCAAGATCAAAAAACATTTTATTTTTGAAACGTAATATTTTTTTGTGAAACGCAGTGCAGATCGTTTAAAAAAAGAGAGACGAAAAATACTAAAGAGATATTCAAACTCACAAGTCGAAGACACACTATTATTATCACGGTAAATAAGAAAAAAAACCCAAAGACAATCGGTACATAAAACACAACATAGAAGACTAAATACTGAACAACAAGAACCCCACGAAACACTAGATGTAATCTTAGGTGCTCCGGAAGGGTAAGCAGACCCTGTTCCACTTGTGGCACCTGTGTATAAGGAATTTAAATTAATACTTTTCACCACGGAAGACGCTAATGAGCAGGAACTGTTTCTCGGCGGTCGAATGTTTCAACTATTTTCATTACGCAAGAAAGGGTGTTGTCAGTCTTTCTCGACTAATATTGCTATTTTCCCCTTTGTATGTTCACCTTTTTAATTAATGTACACACATATCATCAACGATCAATTCGTAAGAGCTCTAGTTTTTTTTAAATTAACTTGACATGGAAAGTACCAGAACGAATGTATTACTGGGAAAATCAATTAACGACGTAGAACTTCATAGACCATAAAAATAGAGAAAGAAGGTTTGTCCGGACGACACCAATACCTTCTGTTTTGTAAATAGTTAGAAGTACCATATTTCCGTCACTTCATATAAATAACAGTAATATACGCCTGGACATGTACCATTTTCATGACATTCAATTTGCTATGTCTTATGACCGTTGTCTTGTCAAAAGATGTCAACCGAAGGGAAAAGCAAACTTGATCTGCAACTCACAGTATACGCTTATAATCCAAAACTGAGCTCAGTATCCACAGACGAAGTGAACACGTGTTAAGGTCATTTGGATATATGGAATGACAGGCATGAAAAAATTCACACACCTAATTAAATGGGCATTTAAAAAGTCAGAATGCGAATATATATGTTCTAACTCTTTAAGGTAATTTTTTAGTAACAACAGACAAAAGAACTATGTCAATTGGACCTGCTTTGATACGATTACTGCCCTTGAATTTTTACTAGATAACATTTTTGTTCGCTATGGAGATTCCGTATATTGTCAAGTTATCGGAATTCCTATGGAGACTAACTGTGCACCACTCATTGCGGATCTGTTTCTGTATTGTTATGAGTTACAATTTATGACTAAAATCAGCAAAGACCCATCGAAACAACATCTGATACAAAAATTTAATAACACTTTTAGATATTTGGATGATATATTGGCTCTCAAGAATGACGACTTCAGTACGTACACTAAAGAGATTTATCCTGCTGAACTGACTTTAAATAAAGCTAATACTAACAATGAACATTGCCCTTTCCTAGATCTTGATATCTATATCTTTAACGGGAAGCCTAATACCAAAATTTACGATAAAAGAGATGTTTTTTTCATTTCCTTTTGTTAATTATTAATTTTTTGATGGTGACGTTCCCTTGTCACTATCATATGGTGTTTATGTATCTCAACGTGTTCGATTCGCTTGGCATGTAACAACGTATTTGATTTTAACGAAAGAAACCGCTGTATTACTTAAAAATTATTACACCAGGGTTTTCGATATCACAAACTAGTCAAAACATTTACAATTTTATCATCGGTAGAAGGACTTCATTCGTAAATATAAATCAACTTGCAGGCATCTTATACGTTCAGGTATTTCACATCCAATCTTTTATGGTAATATTCTATACAAAGCACTAAAATGTCCACATTCACCTCAAAAGCTAACCAAACCTTTAAACAGACTTATTCAGAGGGGATATAGTTACGATACTGTTGTCAGGTCATTAAAGATGGCATATTTTCGTATTATTATTGATTCACTCATAAGGTCTTTGCATCGGAAATTTATTCTAAAACCAGTTGTTGGCATGATAGGCGTTATGTTCTACTCATATATTTTATGATGGTATGATACTGTGCTTGATTTTCATATGACGAAGACATAATCTTTCAATCAGTTTAATTGAGTTCTGGAGCTGGCATGTCAATACCTGCTAGTAGTCCTTTGTTTATTTATGTTATCATTGTCATTTTGCTTAGTTTCCTTTGTTACATATTCTAACATTGGACTCGGACTTCCTTTACTGTGCGTATTGCTATGTGTTTGTTTATTCTTCATTGGCTAGAGGTATAGGAGGAGGGTTAAGATCTAACAAAACATGTTTAACCCCGCCGCATTTTTGCGCCTGTCTAAAGTCAGGAGCATCTGGCCTTTTGAAGTCTTTGTATGTTTTTTAATTTAGTTCATTTATATGTTTTGGAGTTTAGTGTGACGTCCATTTTCATTGAACTAGTACACATTTTTGTTTAGGGGCCAGCTGAAATCGCCTCCGGATGCGGGATTTTCTCGCTGTGTTGAAGACCCATTGGTGGACTTCGGCTGTTTTCTGCTCTTTGGTCGGGTTGTTGTCTCTTTGACACATTCCCCATTCCTTTCTCAATTTTATGAGTAGCAGTACCTTTGATTTTGTTAATTTTTGGTGGATTTCCCCCTTTTTGAACTTTCCTTGGAGCTCGACATTTTTGTATTACTTAAATATTTCACAGAACGACCGTGTATAAAAGACTATCACTGAAATAGCCACAAAGACGTCAACATGTAGAGGATATAGAAGATATTGAAAACATCAGGTTATGCAATGTAAATGCGGTGATAAACACGTTGTGAAAGCCTGCAAGCTGAAATTTCCGATAAGCTGTTGAATCATGTGTTCAAATTTCTAATACTTGCTGCGAACTATAAGGTTAACCGCAAGGCTGTTATTAACAGTTAAACAAAAAGTAAGGAAAGTCAAAAATATTTTTTTTTTTAATAATCAAAACCAAAATGAATAGTGCGAGCACCATGAGTTAAATCTGTTGTGTTTTAAAGGACGTTTGCCTCTATCGGCACATTTAAAGACGTTGAATCCACTTTTTATGAGCATTTTCACAAGTGCAAAATAACCATGACCAGCGTCTTGTATATTTTAAACCTTTACTATTTAGTCTATGATTATATACTTATAACGTGTCTAGGTACTTATACATCCCGCCATTGTGTTATTGTGCTATGGTCAATTATGAATTATTGTCTTTCATTTTTGATTATGAACTTTGTCTATATGCCATTTTGTGTTTCTTTGTTGAAACAGTTAGTTGTTTTTAGAGTGATTAAGATTATATTGCAATATTGACTGCTGTACCCCAATTTTTTACGTTTATACCTTTTATGTCTGTTTGTTTTGCTCACGTATTGTTGTCAATCTAATGGAATTCAATGCGACTGAAATATAAGTGATTGGTTTAGCTAGTTACAAAAACAGCTTTAATCTACCATTTTCTACAAAAGGAAATGCCTGTACCAAGTCAGGAATAGATGTGTTTGAGCTTTTGATTTTGGCATTTTATAAAGGACTTTCCGTTTTGAATTTAACTGGAGTTCGGTATTTCTGTTATTTTACTCTCCACGTAAAAGTATAATCTGATAATTGTACCAAATCAAAATTAAGACTAACCCTACCCGGCCTAACTTTTTTTGGCCGGTTTTCTATGTTCGGTTTGATTCCTTTTTGGTTTGGTTGTCTTTAATGTTTTTTTCTAAAATATGGATAAAAGGATATACGTAAGAGACCCAGCAATCCACTAACAAAGTGACACCATGAGAGTGTCAAAAAGTCCAAATAAAAATATCTAAAGTTTACAAAAATGGTGAATGAATTAAACAGAAACAATTAAGAATCTGCCACGAACACAACAATTACATAAAGATAAGTCATATCTCTGACAAGCTAACTTGAAACAGGCACATGAACATATGCCAAAGGTCTTATCGATCGTATTAAATAAAGCTATTATATAATAAAATATTTTTGGTATACAGGGGCTCTATAATAGCTTGAATAGAGATTTATTGCAAATTGAAGATGACCTGTCGATGTAGAAGTCATCAGGCCTAGTAGTCAGCACCTTTTAAATTCTTCTAAATTCTTAAGATTTTCTACCGCAGGAATATATTGCCTTGGCTGTATTTGGCAAACCTTATAAGATTTTTGGTCCTCAAATGCTCTTCAACTTCGTATTTTATTTGGTCTTTTTAACTTTTTTGATTAGAACGTCACTGATAGTCTTATGTAGATAAAACGTGCGTGTGACGTTAAATTATTAGCTTGGTATCTATGACGAGCTTAATAATAGCACTTTTTGTCTTTGGTGGTTTCTTGATTCACCAGCAATCATACTCTATCTCATTATGCTCTTTTTCGCTTAGAGCAAACTATAATGTTTAAGTTTTATACACTAAAATTAAATTTAATGTAGAATGCCTTTATTTTTTATTGAACATACAGACATATAAATATGTAAACGTAACACATGCACACATACACCTAGTATGTAAACATGACACACAAGCATACATAATTTCATCAATTGAAATACATTTTGTCTACATACATTACAATTCTAATTTCATATTTTTTCATTAAAGAAAGTAATCAGTATTCATTGCTACCTTTAAAAATTTCCCCTTAGCAATACGGGTGATTTGGCAACGGAATATTCTTCTTTATGATGTTAATTTAATTAAACAAAATGTTATGTTAGTTGAAACAAATAAATAAGTGTTATTTGAACGGCTCTTCCGTTGAAGTTTGTTTGCTAAATTAGAATGACATTTTTTTTTTTGAATAACCTTCTCACCTAAACACTATAAAACTTGGAATATTCAGGACTCCAATCAGGTAACAATCCTTTGGTTTGGTAATGCCATCACCATGTTTTCTTACTTCAAAATAGGATCCTTTTATGCAAATAAAATTCTTATTGAAAATTCGTTATCCCTATGAAAAGAGGGGTACAGTAAGCGTACTCATTCAGTCCGTATGACACGTGTTTTTAAAATAGCTTTCATCACTCACGACTAAAAGTTGGAATGGTAAACATGAAGGTAAATAAGTTTCTTTGTGTTTCTTCTTATGCCACACGTTAAATAAATGACAGCACTTAATTGTTTGATTTGAGAACGGTTTAATGACAGTACTAGAGTCACAAACGAAAATTTGCATAATTGACCAAATCATTAAAATCAATCTGAAATGTCACAAAAAGTTATCATAAACATAAAATCTTACAATAGTAGAATTACAGCTATATGCAGTTAAAATACATGTACAACATTCTATTTTACTGATCGTAGGCACAGTGGATCAGCGTTATGTTGTAAAAGCAGCTTTACTATTTCTCTGTACTGTTCTGTGAGATATGGTTCAATGTCTTCGTCCGATAAATAATGTTGACAAAATTGTTGAACTAATGATCTTTGTATCATTTTGGAAGCAATAAACAATGGTGAAATTATATTTATATTACAACAATCAGGTTCTGCTTTAGACTTTAAAAGTACTCTAACAATATTTAAATGTCCATTTTTTGAAGCTATAAATAAGGGAGATTCAAAGTGGTAATTACAAATGTTTGGGTCTGCATTATATGTTAAAACTGCTTCAACAATATCTACAAAGCCCCTTTCTGAAGCTGCAAACAATGGCGTTTCGCAATATGCATCGCATAAATTTGGATCAGCATTATGTTGTAACAATAATTTAACAATTATTAATCGAGCCTGTGGAAGTTGAATGTATAATGGATCGCCTATGTTACTATCAGAAGTAAACATATATTTCGAAGATACTATGAATTATTTGAGCACAACCAGATGCTGCTTCTAATAAAGGTGATACACAATCTTTATTACAAAGGTTAGGATCTACCTGATATTTCAATAATAATTTAACAATTTCTGTGTGACCATGTTTCGCAGCAATATAAATAGGAGATTCGTCAAAATTATTACCAAAATTTGGATTGCAGTGATGATCCAATAACAATTTTACAATATCAAAGTATCCCATGTACGATGAAATAAAGAGCGGAGACTTATATCTTTTGCGGAAGAAACGATCAATGTCTACATGAAGTTTTAAATTTATTTCTGTAGGATTTTTACAAAAGCAGGCAATGGTTTTTGAGTAGTATGGTAATAAAATAAAATGGTTTCAAAAGGTTCGTTTAAATATGGAACATATTCACTGACCCGGTCCCCTCCGATATGACAAAGATTTGGATCACTTCCATTATCTAACAGCAATTTAACAACTGATGTATATCCGTATAAACATGCACAAAATAAAGGCGATTTAAGGCTTTGAGTACAGATATTGGTATTACAGTTAAAATGTAACAATAATTTCACAATATTCAAATAATTGAAATAACAGGCTGCATAAATCGGGGTTTGTTTGAAAGTTGTTTGGACATTTGGATCAAACCCATTTTCCAAAAATAATTGAACAATATCGATATTGCCAAATATTGTAGCTATGTACAGGGGGGAAATCATGTTTGAAGTAGATATGCTCATAATACCATTTTTCAGAAACAGTGCAACTATTTCGGTAAAACCCCTTGCCGACGCAATGTGTAAAGGAGATCGTTCCTTTGTATCGCAAATTTTGGTATCCGCATTATATTTTAATAAAAGAGTAGTAATATCTTTGTGACCACCATCTGATGCTAAAAACAGCGGTGTTCTGTCTTTCTCGTCACAAATATTAACATTTAACCCCATTTTTATCAGCATTTCTACAATTGGAAAAAAACCATGACGTGCGACTGATAGTAAAGGTGAAGATGCTTGATCTGATAAAAACAATAGTTCTTCTGTCACTTCTTTTCTATTTTCTAAGTATCGAACCAGCCTCGTTTGAAAATTTACATTTATCAAGTTAATGTTATTAAACACGTCATCTACAAATCCGTTAGCTATATCTTGACAAAGTCTATCAAAGTAGGATTCTTCTAAAAAATAAGGAACTATAATCATACATGATGTTTGTTCAGTAGCGCTATCATCCTCATTTGATTCAAACTTGAAACGATCTCGAATGACTTCAGAATGGCTCATTTCAAGACAAAGTTTAAGATAATGTTTTCCGAAATATAGAACTAGAATATCGAAAATCTTATCATGAATTATCGTGAATATATCGTTCGAAGTCTTTGTAAAAGAGCTAATCTGATTTTGCAATACCTGTTTTACAAGAACTGGATTTAGAGGATACGCCGTTTGAAAATAGGGAGCTATGTTGTCAAGAACTTGTCTCATTTCCAACTTGGAATTTAGGATGTTGCTATGTATACAGTTATTATAAACTACAAATAAAAACAATGTTGCAATGCTTGTTAGATCAATAGCATTGTCCAAATACGACAGCTCTGTACTTATAGCTTCGATAGGAGAAGTAAAAAAATCTTTAATATTTCTCTTTCTGTGTCTCGAATAAAAGTCGCACAAAAGTGGAAAAAATTCATACTTTGTATATTGTTTAGACTTCTGCAATTTTAAAATGTCATCCTTCTCTAAGAAAACCCTAGCAATATTTATTTTTTCTTCGTCAGATAGAGCACAATATTCCGATGTGAAGTCAACAAACGTATTAGATAAAATGCAGGTTTTTGAGAGTGCGCGTTCCTTTAAAATATAGATACGACAGGTTCCTATGATTTTAATACGTTTGTTTTCCAACAACAGGTTAACGTCGGTTGTCAAATCGCGCCATTCCATGATTTTCTGATTATTCGAGGTATACTTCCCACAAATGTCATCAAACACAAATACTTGATTATTATCGGGGTTATAATATTGTACTATATCTTTTGCATTTTGAGTAGATATAACTTCGTACTTCTTTGACTGGTGCAGATAGAAAGCTACATAATGCGCCGATGTCGATTTTCCACAGCCTGGAGGACCGATGATAGTAACCACAGCGTTTTTGTCAACATATGTCATAAGTGTTTGTATTGCTCTTGTTCTCACAACACTCTTTTCTTTTGTTGACCATTCGTCCAATAGCTTTTCATTAATAACTAAAAATACACATAAAAAAAATAATTGCACCCTTGTTTTTTTTTCCTTTTAATTCTAGATCTAGCTCCATGATTCAAAAACACCTATAACAATTTATACCACTTATTAATTGTCAAATGCATCAGTATACTATGCAGATGTGTTTGTGTATTTTAAGTTATTGCATGCACGTCAGTTTCATTGCTGACATGAAACAAGTCGAAAGTGTTCGTCATACCCCACTTACATTTAGAAAGTTTCTAATAATACTTATCTTTGTCTTGATTTTGTCTTTTAAACTTCATAATTTTCCAAGTCACTATAACATGATATAAATAAATAATACCCTTTATAATTTAGCAAGCGAGGCTCCTGTAAATGTTGAAGTATAAAATTCATGACTGATTTCTGTGTCTTGCCTACTGCTTTAACCAGAAGGGGCAATATTGACTGCTAAAAGTTCATAACTTATCCGTGAAACATAAATCAAAGAAAAAATAGACAAAGAAATCTTTCACAGACAAGGTGCTATTTTGTGATTTTGAAGAATCTTACGTGACACAAATGGACGACTTCACACTAAAATCTATGACAAACAGGATGATTTCAACTTCCCAATTATCAATTTCCCATTTCTTAGCAGTACCATTCCCTCTGCTCCATCGTATGGTGTTTACATATCTCAATTGATACGTTATGCTCGTGCATGTTCAAACTATACTAACTTCATATACATGAGTGTGCTCTATACGCAGAAACTGCTCCAACAGAGTTATGAGGAGGAAAGGTTAAAAATGACACTCCGTAAATTTTATGGACACCATCACGAATTGGTTGATCTATACGATGTGTCTGTGTCTAAACTAACTTATAACATTGTTACCACGTCTAAGATTGTGGTTAAACATCTTTATCGTCTGTCTGCTGAGTACCGAACGTAACCTATTCCCGAATATGACTGTTATACCGAGTGTGAATTTGCATTGCTATACGAAGTGTCTCGGTATTTTGTACATCCAACATTCATGTATTTATTTTTGATGTTTCTGTTATGGTTTCGGTTTAATAATGTGTTATGTCTTATCGTTTGTTATCCAAAATATTATAATATTGACCTTCAATACCATCATCGTCATATTCCCGAATATGACTGTTATACCGAGTGTGAATTTGCATTGCAATACGACGTGTCTCGGTATTTTGTACATCCAATATTCATGTATTTATTTTTGATGTTTCTGTTATGGTTTCGGTTAGATAACCTGTTATGTCTTATCGTTTGTAGTCAAAATAATTATAAAATTGCTTTTCCATAACATCATTTTCATGAACATTGTTTGGACTAGTATTGTGAAAATAATTGTATGAAGTTCCAGATTGCTTGTTAGTTACGTAAGCGCGTCAGTGTTTGTGATATCCTGTGGTGTCTGTCGTTGATGGAATATGTTCGTTGTTGTTCTGCGGGTTGCATGTTGTGTTGACTATTATATTATGTGTTTGTGCTGTATTTCTGTCACGTGGTGTTGCCGTTTTGGCGGTGTTTTTTTTAACATTGTCATAGAGCGGGAGGTTTGGCTAGCCATTAAACCAGGTTCAATCCACCTTTTTGTCTTAAAATGTCCTGTACTAAGTCAGGAATATGGCAGTTGTTATAAATAGTTCGTTTCTATGTATGTTGGCGTTTGTTTTGAACACCGGTATACTACTGTTGCATTTATTTACGTCCAGGTTTTGTAAGTTTCATGGAAGGTTTGACACATTGATTCAAGTTTTAAAACCTTAACTTAACTACAAGTCAATTCCGAAAAAGTCAAGGTATTTGTAAGATACGATGAATTAAGGAGACAGTAGTTGTGCAAATGTCACAAGTCTATTAATTTCGAGCGGAGAAATAGGACGACAATTGTAAAGTTAAAATTTTTCAAGTTTTTCATAGACTTTAGTTTGAAGTCGTTCATCTGTGTCAATATCGAGGAAAAAAAATTAAGATATGAAGCATATATTCTACTTTTGGCAGTATCCCAAATATCAGCTTAACTGAGATATATGAGATACATGTATAAACATTTATTAAAATGTGAGTTATTGAGTAACCAGACATCAAAAATATATCTTAAAGTGAAATTCAAAGATTTTTGCAATATGCTTTTTCTTTTTGTCTTTGAGAAGGTTCTGTGTGAATTGTGCTTTATATGAAAACAAACAAAATTGACCAGTAGCGGTGCACAATTAGTACATATTAGAAAATCGACTGTCTGCTGGAATATCAATCCACCAAACTCAACAATTGTCGATCAAAAAGTCTAGATCTTTTATGATTTCATCTTTGGTGTATTTGTTATGGGAATAATTGTGATTCTTCACAAAGTAAGATTTACCCAAAACCAGAAATTTGTATCTAGGTTTCCCCTGTATGAAGAAAAATGAAACGATGTAGTTGATCTTCAAGTCTTCTTTTACTGCAGAAAGAATGATAGTAAATGTTTCCTTATAATGATTTTAATGAAGTTAAGGTATAAAGATGGGAGATAAAGTGGTAAAAAATTCAAACGTTACCCTAAATGTTATCTCTTGATTATAATAAACTCATCATAGAAATGAGAACTTATTAGTAGCTTCGGTTAAATGTTGCTGAACTTACATCAAGGTTTGTGTAGGTCATTGATGTTTAAACACCGCCAACTTTACAATGCTCCTAATGTTAACTAAATATATATTAATTGGTAAAATACGGAAAAGTAAGTTTATTTAGATGATATCTACTGATCATGAAGACGCTTTTGTCCAAGATTCTGAAAGTTTCATGAAGGTTTGAATATTATGATGAGTTAAAAACATTAACCAAGACTCAATATTTTTTACCTAAAACACATTAAGTCCATTTATCACGTATACTATGAAACAAATGAAAAGAAATATATAAAAAAAATTGATTCAGATGCGGCTTTCTTTTGATTATGAAGAAGTTTCTTTCCGAGTTTCATAAAATTTCAAGTTATTGGTGTGAAGAAAATGTTAAACCAAGACTGCAACTTAATGGCTTCTGAAAACACCAAGTAAAATACGTAAAAATAAAAAAAAACAAACAAATAAATTTTCCAAATTTTGCTCCCAGTAATCATGAAGTCGATTCTGTGCAGATTTGGTCAAATACACAGAATGGCAAGCAATGTTTTTGAAATCTAAAAAAAAAAGGCTTTTACCATAAATCAAACATACCTGTGGACGACTCCGACGACAACGACGTCGCAGATGACGGAATAAAAAAGCGCTGTATAGACGAGAACAGGGTGCTATAGAACTACTTATTTCATTATAAAGATAAGGAGATGTGGTCAACTATCCACCAACATTCAATTGAAGTGAATGTAAGCACTTATAGGCAACCGTACGGCCTTCAACAATGAGAAACAATGAAAACAAACGGCCCAGTTCATAACAAAACAGTTTACGAAACAAATATGACAGACATGAACCAATGGCTACATGTACCAATCCTGACTTGGGACAGTCACATACAGAATGTGGCGGAGTTAAACTAGTTTGCTGGCGCCAAACCCTCCCTCCCCCCTTTTACCTCGAATAGGGGTTTAATAGTGTACCATAACATAAGACAAACTAAAAACGCAGTTAAAAAGGGCTTAACTCATCAGATTGATCCAAGGCAAAAAACATCTAACGAAAACACAGACCGGTCGCGGCAGCGTATCTAGATATCAAACAAGAAAAAGACACTAAGTAAAGATCTGAGGGAACATGCAGTTATTGACATCTAGACTTTACCGACTGAATGCCTGTATAAAGTCAGGAATATGACAGTTGTTTTCCATTCATTAGATGCGTTTGAGCTTTTGATTTTGCCATTTGATAAAGGACTTTCCGTTTTGAATTTTCCTTGGAGTTTGGTATTTTTGTTATGTTACTTTCTTCTAGTTCAAAGCCAATAACAACTAATAAAAACTCATGTATCTAATACTAAAATTTCAATCAGTACACACCAAAACATCCAATGGAATAAGTGTAAAGACGTCATTAACAGTCAGAGGAAAACACGACCTTGTGCAACGCCAAAATATAGGTAGCGATAGTAGTATCGTGCATATGTGTATAACAATAATATTTAGTATGGTTTTAATTTGCTGATAACAAAAGGAATATTTATACCAATAAAACAATATTCAAAGATTTAATTACAGTGTTGAATTAGTAACCTTTTAGAATAATGTTTATTTAAGGGATTAATAAGTTTACCCGGATCGTATCTAAATTTTTCGGACTCGGTAAACAATATTCCCGGAAAAATTAGGATGTGCTATTCCGTTGGAAATAAGTTTTCTACAGGTACAACCAAACTTGCAAACCAAATCTTTGTATCTATGGAAGAATTTAGTAAAGTTTTAAGTAATTTGTAGTAACGAAATCACTGACTTAAGAATATATCAGTAATACATATATTACGCTCATTGAATTAAAAAAACATCACTACAGAACCGGGTATAGCGAACGAGTTGTGATATATAAATACCGTAAGACGGTGGCAAAGGAAAATCATCGTCCAAAAAAGGAAAATTAACAATAGGGAAAGAAAAATCGTCTCTTTTGTTGTAAATGTTTGTGTAGAGTTTCTCGTGTAAACTGAAATATCTAAATCTAGAAAAGGACAGTTATTGCTGTTAATATTATATTGATTTAAAGTAAGTTCCTTTGTATAAAGTTTTGCAGTATATTTAGAGAATTCTTGATTTTTTAGCGAAACGATATCATCCAATAACGGTAAGTGTTGTTGATAACTTCATTTCCAAATTTACAGTGCATAAATCTATCCTGAAATTTTATCGTCATGGTTATATTAAGAATTTTGTTTGATAAATAATAAATGTGTAAACTATCAATAACTGAAAAATATCCACCAAGCAACCAAAGTGCTTCGGTACCGGCATGCATTACTTTTTTCTGTAAATTTCCAGTACAAAAAGTATATAATCTAACTTTTTCCTTTCGGAAATTTTATATATTTGGCTTTTTAAACTTAAGGGCTCCAGCGTACATGTACTTGATAAAGATTTTACAAGAAACACATATGAATTACACATATTTTTTTCATTTAACGTATTTTTTCCTACCAGATACCGTCGTTACCTTGTATTGGTGCCTTGTTACAATTTGAGCAATATTACAAATTTTACATCTCACGTCAAATTAATTTACAAAAATATTGATGCGTTTCAATTTTCTGTGGACATATGTTCATTATACAAGCTTATACATGAAGTGACATGTATAATTCATCCCCATTTACCCCCTTATCATGATTAAGAAAAATGTTCTTCGTATCAACTAAATTAGGAAAATTGTAATTTAATGACCTAACTGTATGAAGTTTTGTATTTTACTTTTCTTTAATCATTGTTTATAATGCAAATTAATAATTCATTTAATCAGAATATATATATACCTGCTACACCTTTTGGGATCGTTGATCTACTGCTAAATTTAAGTTCATTTAACAAATCTTTGTCTTTTGCATCGAATTCTTTCCTTTTTAAATCGTCACATTGCTCCTGATACTTTGAACCACCAAGTCTAACAATAGCCTAGTGGATAATAACAGTAACAAAAGTTAGTAGTAAATGAAACAAGGCACACTTAATACATTTAAAAACGATAAGTGTTATAATTTGCTATTGTTGATTGATTTGGCTGTTGGCAATTAACCAAATTCAGAGTTATCCCCTACTTTAAAATCAATATGTTCCATTCAACCTTTTATACACGTACCACACAAACTGAGGCTATAAATATCAAATCCAAACATGTATCCTACCGGAACACGATATTCAACGACTTTAAGTCTAAACATCTTGACTGTATCAGTGAAGTTCCCCCATTTAGATATATTGCGGCAATATAATCCCAAATGACCATAGCAATTTTGATTAACACTCATCTGCACAATGTGCCAACCAAAGAAACGAAACGAAATACTTAAATGCTGGAACCTACAATTTACAGGAATCTACAGGATTCATTCGAGGATTTTAGCAGTGGGCAAAACCTGCAAAATCTGGTGGACAGTTGTCTCATTTGCAATCATACCACATCCTCTTATTTTGATGAAAGAGTGTCACTAGAATTCCAAATGGGTTAAGACTCTGAGGTCGCTGAAGCAAATTAGAAGAATAAAATTTAACTGGTCTATGCTAACTCAAACAATTTTACTGATTCACTTTTCATTACTTGAGTATTCCTCATTTTAAACAAACAGATTGAAGGAATAAGTCTTCTTTCTTTGGTTTATCAAAAGGAATGTTCAACTCAAATGAAATATCTTAGTTAAGGACGGGACACATTATACTTTGTAAAAACCCACACTGATTTAAACAAAATCATTCATGAAACTGAAATCAGCAAGATGTTTGACATCATATTAGTTACGTTTGGAGGACACGTTTTTCAACAGACAATTGATGTTTATCTTGGAACCAACTGTGCTCCTCATCTTGTCGAATTGATCCTTTATTCGTTTGAAGCAGGTGTTACACAGGAGCTTCGCGTTAAATTTCAAAATAATTGCACTGTCCTATAATTTCTCGTTCCGCTATATTGGTGATGTCTTATCATTAAATAATCAAATAATTTAAAAAATGATGGCTATGCTGGTCGCACCTGCATTACATCCCATTGAACTTGAAATAAACGATATCACAGATACAATAAATAAACTCAACATAGAAACCGGGATTAAAATTGTGCACGCCAGACTTGCGTTTCGAGTTGAAAAAACTCACCAGTGACACTCAAATTGAAATGTTAAAAAGGCCAAAGGTTAACTTGTTTTTAAAATTTTGGCTTAGGCCATGTTTACATAAACAAATTTATTTTAGAGTACAGATAAATCTGTGCAACTGGAAAAAAATTTGAAGGGCTGACGCCACCTAGGTGTATACAAGTTAAATTCAATTGTTTTTCATAAAATATAAAACATTCCTTAGTTTTTTTTGCATTTTTTCATTGTTACAATAGGTGTTAAAAAAACTAAGTTTCGTAAAGTCTTTAAGATGTAAAGCATACAACAGATATCAAACTAAGTGATTAACACAATATGGTTAAGTGGACAGTAAAAACAAAATCAGTATTTGTCTATTATACCATCTTCTAGAAGGGTCGAAAACAAATAATATATCAGAATAATTTTATGAACACAAAATAGATATAAGTTATTTTTTATATAGGTATAGCCATGCCATAAGGCATAACACTTTCGTATGTGCACTAGATGTCGGTATTGGGAATAAATTATTGTAATACGGTCATATTTGAAAAAAAGGTAATTTTACGCCTGCTTCTTATATTGATCAAGATTTCATTGATAGGGGGTTGTTGCTTATACGCAAACTATTAAACCGAGGGTTCCAAATGCTAAAGGTGAGGTCATCCCTTTGAACGTTTCATCAAACATAATGATTTGGTTTAAAATTATCCAATACATATAACACCGATGGCCACGGATATGTTTAAAATTGTAGAAGCCAGGAATACAATCCGGTCCTCTTTCCGTCTATGTTTTCTGTGAAGTGTTATATGGACATGTTTCTCTTTTCTTCGTTTTTCTTCCCTATAAGTTGATATATTGATAAGAACAAACTAATCATGACAGACTATTAACAGTACCTAATTGTAAGTTACTAACCTGACTAATATCATCCCAATACTGATTAAACTCTTGATTAGTGAGGGTTCCTTCATCACAATGCAAAACTTTGTTTCTGTACCTCTTGATTCGGGACAAATCTGTCGCTTCACTCTTATCACCGCTAGATGGGAAACCATCTTGAATATTAATTTTGGCGAGGTGTCTTAAAAGGCAAATCATCAGTGTTATATCAAATTTCTCTGAACTAACTGGCTCTGTAAGGAAAATTGATGTCTTCCAGTAAACAGATACTTTTCTTTCTTTTATTTCAATTCATATTAATGAGTCTAAAATCGAATCTTTCATATATTAAAAAAAAATCACATTTATCTGTCAAACAAAATTGTTATTCAGCACTTAACAATGTCTTCAGTGTTGAAAATACTTTTGATACATTATTGGCAATTTTACATTCTTTTGTGAACTTTTGCATCGATAGAACTTCACTAAGGAAAATACATTATCTTGTAATTGAAAGATGATATGCAGCTTTAATTCCATAATGTTTATGTGGTTAAGGTAGATGGTCATGATTTGCCAAAATGTAGTTTGTATCATGCTTTTTTAAAAATATAATAAAAAGTATGGATCACAGGCCTTTTAATCAAACTAAAGGTTTTTCAAATTGTCAGATTTTGCATAGATTATACATGGAAAACCCATTTTTTTAAGGTGATAAAAATAAACTAAACGATAGAACTTTAAGACAAAAAAAAAATGAGTAGATAGCTCTTATAAGGTGTATTCAAAAATGAAACATAAAAATTAAGATTGTGTTCTGCTATTTTACAATCCAAGATGGCGAAAGACGACCGATCTACCTGAACAAGGTAATTTTATTATTTAGATGGTAAACTTTTAAAATGAACAAAGTCTTTTGAAAACGTATTTCATGGTGAAGGTAAGTTTTGTGTCCAGTCCATGTGTATGTAAATTCAATTGTTAATTGTGAAAACAAAACCTGCACCTATGGCCAGTTGCTAAAATTAACTTAGATATATGTTTTAAGTTGAACTCTTAGCTAACATCAATGGTGTTTTCGTAAGACTTAATTATGAATAACTTAGAATAGTGTCCAATACATTGCACGAAATGTGGTTCTCACTTTCGTAAACTTTTTTTGTTAACGTACATTCTAGCAACAAAAAGAATAGGTATGTTTATCCTTATAAAGTGTTAGAAATGGGGAAGGAAAATAATTGGACATATATTTAAATGTAGTTTATTTAAAAACAAAACTGCCGTGTTAAGATTTATTAAAAGATAACTTGCACATAGAGAATATAACACCCAGCTGAGACGATATTCCGGTGCTTCCGTTTCCTATCATAATTTCCGTGATATATTGGTATAGGTTTTTTGTGGGGTTCGTGTTGCTAGGTCTTTAGTTTTTATGATGTGCATTGGATACTATTGTTTGTCTTTTAGTCGTTTTACGAAGTTTTGTGAACTCTATTTTTCGAAATGGAGAGAGTTAAAAGCACGTGCATACGTTATCTTTATGAATGCCATATTGCAGTCATATACAACTACACGAAAGTACATATACGGTCTACAAGTTAGTTAAAGTGTAACACAAAATTTTAATAGCGTTGCAGTTTCTGTCGAAATATTAGAATGTTAATATTATTAAGTATTTACTGTATGTTTGTCTGCTTGATCCGTGGATACAAGTAAAGAGGATTAAACAAACGGACTCACTTAAAAGTCGGTTTAAAGCAATCTAAGGCATATAATACGATTACATCTGAAATCGAATAAATAAATATTATCTCTACTTTGCAAACTTCTTTTCAGAATGCAATTACAGAAACGAACAGCACACAGGATTACATTGCTATGTACGATGTTGTCGCAATGTGTTATATTAGAAGTTGTTAACATTCAAGATAAGTGGGCTTTCTCGCTACTTATACCAATATGACTTGCCTATGATATCCCTACGAACTTGAATACTACAGTAGAGAAATAAAATGATGAGATTTTCAGGCAATCAACTTCGAACGAATTTTGTATGACCTTTTCCGTTTCAGGCTAAAGCCATAACTGTTTAACGGATGTAAAAAATTTACCTTACAATGTCACATTTGGAATCCTGCTTACCTGAATTCGGAAACATCCGTTCCCATTGGTGTCTGTAAATGACCCGTTTCTTCCGCAAATCATCAAGTACCTTATAGTTACGATTGAGTTCAGCCTTCAATTTTGTTGGGTGGAATTCAGTATTAAATTTATCCCTCACAACGGGTTTTGCTATTTGAAGAAGTAAATGAACTATTCGTAAGTAGCAAATTTCCTCAGCAGTCATTTCTCTTGGCATATCTTCCATACCTGCAGAAAAACAAGCGAAAAAGATATAACGCTTGGAAAATTCATTAGTAGATGAAAACACCAATGAATGAACCTCACTAAAATCAGGGATGGACTCATTTGATCTGGAAAGGTAAGCAATTTCAGACCAACTAATGGCACCCGTCATTTTGCTCATTTCAAATAAAAATACGTTGAAAGTCACACATGGTGATGGCACAAACGAGAAAAGGAGGACAGAATTGTAACTAAGACAAGAAGAACATATTAGTGGTCATCTTACAGTGGTTGTCTCCGGTTGGTGTCATCAGAAATTGTTCTTCTTCATTTGCTTTTGCATAACCACGGCCGTTTGTGTATTTGGTGTTTAGTCATCACGAAGACATTCATCTGTAATTGTTTACTTTCTTGTTCTTTGATCTCTGGTGAATATTTGTCTCATTGACAGTTATATCACATACCGTGACTTTTATTAAAGTTTGTACTACAAAAATAATTTTGGACGTTGTTATTAGTTCAATATATACAACAAAAAAATATTTAGGATCAAAAGATCCATTTATTGTTTACGACTGATTTACCTTCGGGTTACCACTGATCGCCTTTTTATTTCCTCTTTCTGTTTCTTTATATCGATAACAATATTTTGACGACTAAATTGAAATCTTCAATATTATTTGATTTTTCTTGTTTCTCATTGGCTTATTTGGTCATGTGTTTTCCAATATATATTTTGTATTTTTACACGATTTTGACATATTGAATCGACGTTACTATTTTTGGAAATGCTATTGACTCCATGTTACTAAAAATAAATAACATCGAGTCAATATCATTTCCAAAAATAGTAACATCGAGTCAATATCATTTTCAAACTTACACTATTTACATATATAATATATAGATTAAGGACTTTCACTTAGTCAATACGTACTTCGTCCTCGGTCAATATAATCCGAACAGGTCCATATATAATGTATTGACCTCGTCAAAAGTCCATAATTGGTAAATAGCAATCACTTCACATTTTTAACTCACAATCTTTCTTTTGTTTGTTGTCACTTTTATTTAGTACGTATTTGTATATTGATTTGATTTTTTGATTTTTGGTGCTACTTTTAAGCACCGCTTTTGGGCTATTTCGTGGCGGCCAGTTTTTACTGGTGGAGAAAGCCGGAGTGCCCGGAGAAAACCACCGACCGTCGATAGGAAAACTGACAATCCTAGTCGGCCCCCGAGGCCCCTATTTGTATATTGTCTTTGTAGCTAATTAATAGTAATTGTTTGATAAACCAAAAGACATGCTTAACAAACACACGTCATCCTGACTTGATCATTATATTGTCCTGTTACGTCTAATATCAGAATGTCGTGAAAACCTTCATGTAGCAATATAGATTCATGCAGTTGGGTGATTCCTTTAACTCTGTACTTTGAAAAGCAAAGACATTTGAATAAACAAAAATAAATCAATGAATAAAATATGACAAATCGTACGACCAAGAACATAGAGAGATACAACAAAACGATGACGAAATATTTAAACGTGTTTATTTTACTGTCATTTTTGTCAATAAAGTAATCATAAAAGCAAATATATTCGTATTTCTATATTATTAAATGATATTTTTATAGCACGATTTAAATTTATCTGTTGTAAGGTTTGGAAGCGTTCCTCTAAAAACAAATCTGTTTAAAATCAGCCTCATAACATATATATGCGGTATTGATTTATGATATCTCAATCAATCTGCCATGGAGTATCACTTTGGTCCGGTTGAATGATCACAATAAACATTACTGTAACGGTTGCCTCTTTAATTTAGATTCTAAAAGTCTAAAAGATTTGCAAATACACCTTGACTGATATTAAATTCCAGATCCTCACCTGTAAATTTCAAAACTGGTATGACATTCTTGTTGCTTTAAAAGAAAGAAGGAAAGCTTCAACGTTGAAATGACTTGCATTTTAAAACACAAACTTCCTTGTTACTAATTTATGTCATTTAGTTTGTGATAAAGATTAACATAACAATATCGTTATGGCAATTGACAAATATTTTTTCTTTATTATACGACCGAACAGTTTGGTTTTAACTTATATTCTTACCTTGAATTATTAAGTTAACATCATATACAAATGTGTCAGTAAAAAAACATGATAGATTGAAATATGTCCCGGTAGGATTACATCTGTGCTATCTTATTGTAGTTGGATAGATGGTATCGTTATTTATTTCTTTTTTGATTGGACGCTATTTAAATATTAAAAGCCTTGACCCGATCACGAAACATTAATATACCTGGATTGCAACAACGTATGGGTTACGAGGACACTTTCTGCATGGTGTATCAAATAAGTTTCCGTATCTTTACAACTTATCGTTTGGGGACTATAAATCAAAATTATCACAAATCAAAAACTCAATAGCATTGTACTGATATGCTATTTTTTTTTATTAATACCTGACATATTCTTAGGTGTCAAAAAAGGTATTTCACGACTAGCTTTTTACACTTATATATCTATAACTGTCGGGAAGCAAAATCAATTCTTATTTTAAGTTAGACAATAGACTGAAATGCAGTTATACTGAAATTTATATTGTACACATCTACTGTGGACATTGCAACATATCGTGTCACCATGCACTGTTGGCCTCGTCATTGAAAAAATCTCATCAAGTGTACAGCCACCGATATTTGAATAAGATGTCTATTTCACCTGTATATTAGAATTATCTTTTGATAACAATTTTCAAATGTTTTGTTTTTCTTAAAGCTGGTGTAATTTCTTCGAAATAAGGAGAATTCATTGCCAAAAACTAGTTCAGCCCCTCACATCTTCAGATAAGACTTTGTTTTAGATTGTATTTACTTGGTATAATTGGTGTCTTTTTTCTGTTAAGTTTAGTTAAATGCTTGAAAGGTATTACAATGTATGCAGTATCAGATTTTTATATTTGCTTTCAATCACAAAACATTTTTTCAAATCCCCACATGTTGCATCAGATTAGCCTTTGTATTTTTTAGTTGGTGTTAGGTCTACCCTAATGGTTTTCTGGATGTGTTCATCAGCGTCGCCTAGGACAATCTTCATGACGGAGGCTATAACGGTTTTCAAAAATGAAATGTAAAAGACGGAATTTATTGTATTACGTAATGAAAACAACATTATTTAAATTGCATGCGTCCGAAGCACTATTCTGTATTTACCTTCATCATCTTCCCTCAAATTCAAATATTTGAAAATCAAGTATTTTTAATGTTTGAATCCTCGACAAATTTTCTTAACGCATTTTACAATACATTTAAAAAGTGCACGATGACAAGCTACGTTGCAATGTCCAGGTAAAATTGTCGACGCGACATGTATTGCTCCTTTTGGAGTTAATGCGATTCCATCAGTTTTTGTTTGTTACCTTCATTTGTCTTCGAAACCGATTTATGAGATTTGTCATAAAAAACTACTGTTGCCTTAATTTTACCAAGGTTGCTACCCCCTCTATCATAGTTGGGTATTGGTGTGTTTGGTTCTACTATTACTATGGTTCTGCAAGCAAAGTATATAAAGCGACTGATATACATTTGCATTTGTTTTTTAAGGCTTAAAAGCGTTTAACACTTTTAGATGTCAAAACTTTTGATAGTTAGTGTGTACAAAAGGTCGTTGCAGATACACATGCTATATGCACAGAAATCTAAATCATCTGTTTTTGTTTCATAACAATGATGGTGGTCAATAATAAAGCGCGTACATGCATGACTATCTGTAGCAAGAAAGCATTCAAACAGTGAAAACATAAATCGAAAGTAGTTTGTAATGGTATGTGTCCTAACTTTTGTCTGTCCTGTTTATTCTGTTTATCATTATAAACGGCTTGATCTCTTTTATGTCCAAATTCATATGACATTTGTTTAACCTTAAATTCTAATAAATCTCTGAACAATGTGGAGAAAACTCATTAAAGATACCAGGATTAAAATTTTATACGTCAGACGTGCGATACGTCTAAAAATGGCTCAGTGACGCTTGAATCAAAAAGTAAAAAAGGCCAAATAAAGTACGAAGTTGAAGAGCATTGAGAACCAAAATTTCCGAGAGGTTTTGCCAAATACAGTTAAGGTTATCTATTCCTGGTAATCTATACTATTCAATGTTTTGTAAAAAGTTAATTCAAAATTATGATCATATCCATCATAATTCATGTCAATAATTCATGTCAACACAGAAGTGCTGAAACTCATCATAGATATCAAGATTTGATCAGAAGCATTGGTAGCACAATTTTTTCACCTTCAGGTCTGAATTGAAAATAAATTTGAAGGTAGGTCTAACACTTCAGGGCAATTATATGTAGATGAGATTTGTAATACGGATTAAATTTCGTATATGAAAACATACATGACGTCAAACATATTCATGATACGATAGAAATTTCAATGATAATACCCAAGATTTGACCCTGAAAGTAAAGATATTAGAAACTGTATTCAAGTTCAGGGGAAATTGTGTTCAATTGAACTTTTAGCTGGTGTTTTAGATAATTTGAGTGCTGTAGTGGAGTGCATTGAAAACTAGGCTCTCAAAAGCAGTATTCGTCATAGAGGAGTCTGTGCAAAGGCTAAGGAAACGAAAAAAAAATCAACACGCATTGCAGACAAGTCCGTCTCTTGGTGAAAAGCAATGGAGAAATATCTTTCTGACCAATAAGCGTCAAATTCAGAAGACGAGAAACGTATAAGAGCAGTCGAAGGTAGGACCGTAAGAAAGCTGATGTTTCCAAGCCCGACTAATTTGAAAAGGACTGGAAAAGGACAAATGAAGCGGCTGATAGTTTACAAGCGTTCTGAAAAACGATGGCGATTGTGCTGATCAACCCTTTTGCTTGGGAGAGACATTCGGTCCAACCAAAGGTCAGTAAAACAGAGCCAAACACTCCAATATCTCTTATTTTTACAGAAGCTAAATGCATTAACCCAAGGATTTGTAACAATATAAAAATAAAGAGATGTGGTATGATTGTCAGTGAAACATATATCCAACAGAGACCAAATGACGAGGATGTAAATATATTTGAGATAGGCAAGCAACTTATTATCATTTTTTTTACGTTCTTGTGCATTGAATATATTTGTAGCTTATTAAGATGTATTATTCAGTTGGTTACAAGAGATTAAATGCTAAATAATTTTGTTTTTAAACTTTATTATATATGATCATAACATTGTTATCAGTATCATAAGTTATAAGTAAGTTTGTTATCCATGTTGGAAGACTCATCGTCTAATGATAGATCTAGCGTAATACAATACTAGACTAAAGTGGAGGTTTAAGTGTCAATTAAAACAAATACTGTCATGTTTATTTTAGCAAATGCTCAAGAAAGTGTTTTATTATTCCCGCGATAGTTGTAAAACAAAACGTGTCACAATTACGACATAACATTTGTTTTTGTGCAAAAAAATTTGTGTAACAAAACTTCCGAACTCCAAGGTAAATTCAAAAAGGGGAATGCCATCAAAACTGACAAAATCAAACGTCAGACTTTATCAATCAACGAAAAGAATGGAAAACAACATATATAAATGTATGAAACAATTAAAAAAACCACGGAAAACTTTTTACATGTTTATTCACATGTTTTCGAGAAACGTGAGCATTTCTTAATTCCTAGCTGCCATGGCAGTAAACATATATGTTTAATGGATAATTGAAACTAAAAAAATTAAATGACTTATTACTACTAGTCACAAGACTGATGTGAATATCACATAACAAAATTAATTTGAACAATAAATATTATGATGTAGGCAGGTAAATAATTGAATTGAATCGACAAATCTAAAGACATTTTATACTTACCGTTAATATTGACAGACATTTTAGCTATCAAATCGTATTAGTACGTCTGAGGCTGTCATTAATATTCGTCATTTAATAAAGCTTCTAAGATTGATAATCATATAGTTCAAAATTTGTTGCGAGGACAAATGTCTAGTAAACAAAACAGATATCCTAAATTTCAATACGGTTCGGTTCTATTATCGAAACTTCAAACATGTGAAGATTAGAGTGTTGTATCGTATCTATATACAAAGTAGATGTTGTATGATTGGCAATAATACATATACCTACCATAATCCAAACGATGAGGATGTGATCAACTATAGGTCAACTATACTAATACCATTTAGTTCACTATAAAAGATCCCGGCAACGACAACCAATAACTTACAGGTTCCTAACTTGAAACATCGTTTACGGAATGAGTCGGAGTTAAACATGTAAACATTTTTTGGAGCGCTCAGCACACATTGGCCAATGGCTTGACATATCAGGTCGGTAAAAAGAAGAAAAAAAAACATAAAAAAAACCCCAAAAAAACCCCGTACCGATCTCAGATTTAGTTGTAGACGTCTATGGAAAGCACGACCATGTGCAATGCCAAAATATAAAAAATCAACAAAAAACGTCAACAAAACAATAACAACATATGCCCGAAAAATCGTCTCTTATGTCGCAAAATGTTCTGTTCAGTTCATACATTTAGAAATACGATATGTTCATACATAAAGAATAAAAATAATGACATTTATGACCTTGCTAAAATACTGCGGCTCTTTTCACAAAAAATCTTAAGAGTAAAAATACTCGTAAGTCATACACATTTCAGTATAACTTACGATCAATTTTAATCGTAAGATTTTTTGTGAAAAGAGTCGCTGGTTTGTATTTGATTGATCTGCTAAAGATCATTCTTCCAGAAACAATTTCTGCGCAATGTGAGGCTGGGCGTTCTTTCCATAAATATTTTTTGTTTTGTTTAGGTCGGTATTATCTTCCTTTTTTAATAGGATTTTAATTTTCTCGCACACTAGATTGTCCACAGAAGGTCGCAATAAAAGAATTTTTTCTTAATTGTATTTAGTAATACATCAATGTATTCGACAATGCATTTTGAACCTACATTCAGAAACTTTATAAACTTGAATATGTCGCGCTAGCACTTTCGTGCGCCGTGATAGGCGACAGACGAACGGACATACAAACTATGCCCTCTACTTGATTAACTTAAATAGTAAAAGTGTTTTTTAAGATTAAATCTTTAACAAATCAAGCGTGTCATTTCTTAAAGAATGTATCGTTAGACTGTAACATTTGTGTTGGCAATGTGCACAATATGATTGCCATTCAACTTGAAA